GACATTTCTAAACATAATTTACACAATATACGAAATGATGCTCACAGATACTAGTAACCCTTATATCAATATCTAAAAGTTTCATGATGCGTCAATATCCAAGACACCCAGATACCCACCATGAAATTTTGCATATTATTTCATGAATCATTGAAATGAGTACCTGAGTATTGATGTAAGAGTTATAAGTAAACACAGGCCGCTAATGCATACTCCAACTAATATCTATATAATTACTATAGTTTAGTGAGAAAATAATCAACTAATATGAAAACCTTGAAATCAGGTCAATTAGTGGTTGAGTGAGTCGCCGACCCATTTTCGGCTCAATCAGTGTTATAGTGGAGAACTGAGCACGTGAAACAAGATCAATATTACTTGGCTCATATGTGAAAAATAAGTATGTGTAAATGCAGTGAGTCCTTTAGCTATGCAATTAATTCATTCCGAAGCTTTCTGCATAAGTTTTATTTTCTCTACAATACATTTAGTACAAATCTATAAATACTCTTTTTATTGTAAGAATGTAATAATATATCTATGAATTTGAGAACTCACTGCATTTATAATTATAATAGTGAGCCTACATTTCCATTAATCTGTTTCACTTTGTTTCTATAAAATTTAAAAATGATATTCACTCACCAATTTAATAATTTTTATTAGCATCCAATTATTGGTAGATGTTGTCATAAGCTTGAAAAATACAGGTGCTAGACTTAAATAGTTTTTCGGATTCTTTCTTGCTAATTCGCAAACTACATTAACTGCAGCACTTTGCACACCGCTATCTGGATCTTCTAATTTTTCTTTCAATCTCGGAAAAGCAGGCCGTAAGGCCTCTGGAAATCGCAAGAAAACTTTGTACATCATTAATACAGCTTTCTTGCGTAGGTATGGCTTTGTAGATGTTAATAATGTCATAATGTCGTTAACTAAATCGCGTGCAAGATCTGAGCTTATAAAGCAAGACAAGCCGCTTAGAGCCAGTCCAGCATCATACTGGTTTTGGCTATTTAAGTCTTTACGAATCATATTAGTAGTTAACATCAAAAGCTGCAATAAATTGTTCCAATAAATAATTCTGTGTTTATTAAGAATAATTCAATTATGTTACAATAATATAAAGTCTTTAGAAACCTGATGAATTCATCAACTCCAAAGTGACTAACTTCCCTCTTTGTAGAACACTGACACAAATCCTTTACATAATCATTTAATGGAGTAGTTTGTTTATAGAGATATTAATGAAGTAATAAAGTTTCATATTGCTGTTTATGACTACTTGTAACGAAATATACATTACATTCATCAGATTTCTTTGAGACATTAATTATATGTCAATTTCAAATAATTTCATACTTCTGTATCTGCATGAAAACTTTGACTTCCTGCCAAGTAGCCAATTCGCTTATACGTAAATTTTGCAGATGACATCACTTCGATTATGTTGAAACCAGCCCAGCTAATATCATACCCCAACATTTGAAGCTGAATAAATTTAAATAAATTACATTAATAATAGAAAAAATATGACTGGTTACAATTTATACACATACTAAACTTACATATGTCAGCTTTGCTACAGCATTTGCCTTGACTGCAACATTATCTTGTCGTAATTCTTGTTTAATTTCTTCTATGCATTGTGCAATATATTTTGCCTATAATAGTATAAAAATATTAGTAAAAAAAAAAAAAAAATTCAAATCATTAACGTAGATACAATTGAGGTTATGTCGCTGTAATTGATGTTTGAACCCAATCTACATAATATAATTATGAACGTACCTCGTTTTCCTTGTTGTTCCTAATTCCGCGGACTAAATCCGTCAAGTTTTTGTCGAACATACGTTCGAAATTTCCTTTTACTTTACGGAGAGCCATAATGGCATTTAAAAAATAAATGGTATATTTTCAATATCGCTTTAATGAATTTTTCTACATCCGTCCGAAGGTCCGACTTAATCGGATAATTCGCTTTGATTGCATTACCGTATGTTAGAAACCTTAAACTTCAATCACAGTCTTACATTTACATTTTTTGACAGATCGGCGGATAAGAAAGTCCCTCGATGATGAAACCTAAGAATTATCGCAAATAGACAAACTACTCAACATTCCTGTTCATTACGCAAAATTTTGCGAACACAAAATTCCCAAGTTTTGTCAAATTTCGGAACTGCTAGTTATAATTCGTCTGTTTTGATTGGGTACATTCCAGCCATGAATTCATGATTTCTACGCTACACAGTTGGAACTCCTTATACAGTTTTCATGATTCCAGCGAAAAAACTGATATTCTGGGGGACTTTCTAGAAAAGGGTTAGTAAATTGAAATCACAATTCAGATGAAATAGATATTGATATATTTATATAAAAGCACAAATGCCAATTAATGGACTCAAAAATGCATCGCCATTTAGCGGCGGCGATCGAACTATTTTTTCACATATATTCACATCTTTTACTTTTTCCTGCACATTCATATAATTTTACATCGTAATTATGATAAATCATCTTCTAATTGTTGAATTAGATAATAATATATACAGTTATTATATACAGTATATATACAGTATATAGAACCGCACAAGTTTGTCGTGAAATAGTTCCTACTTCGCGCCGCTAGATAGCGCTTCGCTTATCGGTATTTTAATTTAAAAAAAGTATAGAATTTATGTTTTGAATAATTTCATTTTTGTGTCGCCACCTAGCGGCGTTTGGTGGAAACTATTTTACGACAAGCTTGAGGGGTTCGCAAAGAGATGGAGCCACCAATGTCTCGATTTGAGTGACGAGCCGTAAAAGCGGTCCTACGCGGTCACTCAAATCGAAACTTTTCCACTGAAAAATCAGTAAATTTCGAAGCGTTCATTCAACTTTCCACTTTCCGTCATTCACGGTGACATTCGTCTCGCTTGTACCCGATTGTTGTTAGTTTATATTTACGACGCGACAGTCCTTAGTTTTTCATCCGTTTATCGAGCTTCTGGACCGCAACGAGAGGAAAATGCCGATTGTACTTATCGTCCTGGACACGTTGCGACGGTGCGCGAGCGCGCGCCTATCGACCAGATCCTCGTCTCTCCTCTCGTTTCCTCACTGTTAACAATCATGTATGTATTTCACTTGAATCCCAGCTACGGCAACGCCTCGAACGTCTTTCAGGGGATGGAAAATGTCCAGTCCCCACGTGGCCATGCGGGAAGTACGAGAAAGAGGAGGTTGAACAGTTCGTTGAAAAGTTGCTTCACAGTTTCCTCTTCCGAACGTCACTGTTGCGTTTAAATTGGTCCAAACTGTCCAGATGAGCTCGACAGTGTCCCATCGTCGCGGAAAATCGTGTTCCGCGCGTTTTGGAAACCGAACCGTGACTTCTGCCTAAGAATCCCGGGAGCCGAGCTTTTTCATCTCGATGAGAATCCAGCGAGAAACGTTGTGAAGTGAATAGTCGTTATAACGTGACGAGTGACCGGTAATTAAAGCTGCTGAAGTTAATTAGAAAAGGATCCTATCCGAGAAGAATTTGGAAAAGAAGAGAATCGGGATTTGAGATGAATTAAATGGAATCGGAATAACCGATCGTAAAGTGGTCGAAATAATTCGATGTCGCGGTATGCGATAGTCCTATAACAGGTCGATGACGTCCAAGTGCGTCAAATTTGACCTGTTTCGGCCGGCACAGATACGGGATGCCCGGTTTTACCAACGAGACGTATCGCGGATGATGCATAACCAGCGAAACGTACTTTACGTAACCTTGTAGCTAAAATGAATCGAATCGATGGTTTCGTTGCTTTAAAGTGCACCTAATAGCACCCTCTCACATCGCAGTGTCGAATCGAAACGTTCGTTGCGTCGATGTATTTCGAATCAGAAAACCGCGATCGAACGGTTTCGTTGATAATTAGATCGTCGTAGAGCTTGCTAGAAATGTACCGGAAAATATGCGGTTCGATATCGAGAGAAAAGAATATTTTTCGGAAAGCAACGGACGTAGAACAAAAATCGAATTTCGTGGGAAGGACATCGAACCAAAAATCTATTCGAGGGAAATCAGTTTGTCGAGACAGTAATGTTTCGATAGATTCGACGCAAGCTTGATGATACTAGAGTTCGGAGAGTTCGTAGCGTAAATAAAGACGGCCTAATTTTTAATCGTTCGAGTGCCGCGGATTTTTCCAGATATCCAATCGAAAGATGCCAAATAGCGTTACGGTGGAGCCTTACTCTGTATCCACACTAGTTAGGAGACGAAAGTGACCGGATTGGGAATTTTGGGATTGGGATAACGGATCGTTTGTATTGTATTAAATTTTTAATTTGTTCAAATAGAAGCTAAGAAATTTCACAATTGGTTTTAATATTTAAGGATCCACACTGGCTGGGAGACGAAAGTGACCGGATTGGGAATTTTCGGACAACGGATCGTTTGTTTTGTATTAAATTTTTTATTTGTTCAAATAGAAGGTTGAAAACTTATCTTTCTTCGTTTATTTATTAATTTAGAACTTTCTTTTTTAACACATTTTGGACAACAGCGGATCCAGATAATAGAACGTTCGGGGTATTCGAATAACGGGAGTTTGGATGTTGAGTACTCCACTGTATTATGCTTGGCTAATTCCGTATGGAAAAATACAATAATTACGAAGTTCATAAGAGTAAAAATACCGATTCCGATACAACCTCGATGAACAATGTCATTAAAGACAAACATTGAAAAATCCGAGAGCGCAGGCACCTGATTAAACGAACCGATGGACTGGCACCTTTAAACCCCAACGAAAAAATCACAAATGCAGCGATAACACGGGGAGTCTCCGATTAAAGCGACCTTCGAGTAATCGACGAATCGCGCGAGAGACGTTGCAATTCTCACATCCGCTAGAGATACAAAGAAGAACGGTAGATAGTATCAGCCAACATTGCGAAATAATTTTCGGCGATGCCCCCGAAGCATTTTCCGTGTTCGATTCGGGATCGTTTCGACGAAGGTTGACTATGAAAGCGAGGGGAATAGAACCGAAAAAATTCACCGGTAAGTCGAGAGATTTTCTTTTCTATTTTATTTTAAAAATTGATTCAACGAATCGTTTACGATTACACTAGTTTACAGCCAAAATGTACGTTCAATGGCACTATTCTTTTTTTTTCTTTCTTAGGTATATTGGCCTGGTAAACTCGAAAACCGCAATGAAAAACTTTTGTAAGGATAGCGATGCAAAACTTACGACTCAACAGACATTTTGTAAATTTTCGATCAATTAAACGTAATGATGAAACACGACACAAAGTTGGCACTAAGAAAACGTAAAAATAGCTAAAATTACTACTTAGTTAATTACTAATTAACTAACGCCAAAATTATATAGCCTAAAATGTGAAGCTACCTCAGAAAAACATCGAAAAAAAATTCAAAACCTCGTATCTCGAAATTCTATCCGTACAAAATTTGTTTCGTTTCGATCCTCGAGTTTAGCGGGCCAAAATATTAGATTGTCCCAAAAGTATCTTTCGCGACCTAACCCAGACCTAATACATAAGACAAAAATTTAGTTGCATCGTATATACGTAAAGATTTGTTTATTTCGTAAACCAGTGTTATTATCAGATTTCTATGTTAGTAAATCACCGATTAATTCGACCTAATCTTCATCGAAATAATGTTTTATATACAGCTAATGGGAATACCGATAACGACCCCACTTAAATGCGTTAAGATCTCTATATTAAGCGATGAACGTACTAAAATGTACGGAATGCTCCTGTTAATCATTCGAAGTTTGCCAAGAAGAAAGGTTGAACCGGCATGCGTGATAATCACTTGCAAGACAAGGTATGTAAATACGTGAAAAATAAATAAATTGTTTCACGCTGTCGTGCAATAGTTTTTCCGTAACAAAGTGGAAAATATTGTTTCTTTGGTGTAATTCAATAATGTGATTTCTCGAATGGGTAGAAAATCACGGAACGATAGTTGACTCTTGTACCCCCAAAATATTCCGTCACTTGATGTATTGTATCAATTTCTAGTTCCGAAAAGAGTCGGGAAAATGTATTCTGTAAATTTTCAATTCATCTGTGCAATCGATACTTTTTAAGTTACGCAGTTTGACTGCATCGATTATTATGCGTTATCGTGCCCGCGAAAAGTATTGATGTGGTATCAATGTGCTATCAATGTTCTACTTAGTATTGACTTGGAGCAATCAAATCTTTCCAAGTATTTTCGCGGGCACGATAACGCATAATAATCGATGCAGTCAAACTGCGTAACTTAAAAAGTATCGATTGCACAGATACATACTACATTTTTTTTACTAGACAGCCACATTTTTAGTCAAAGATTACTATTTATACATAATACGAATAATAATACTAAAGCTAATATACAGGGTCTAAACAACTAGATTCTAAACAATTTAGATATAAAATCGGCATCTTTTAGTATATAGTATAATTCTAAAATTATATATAATATACTATAATCCTGAAATCCATTCAGGATGATTCAGGAATCAATTATTTTAAATTCTACATATATATATATGTATATTATATTACATCATTTATTATTTGGTCTTGCGCTCAACAAAACGTACAATTATGTGATTCTTCCATATATTTCTCTTACAATAACGCATATTAATTTACACCAATTGTAAATTGCATGGCCCTATCTTTAACATTGTCTATGATATTAAGACAAAAGTGATATTCCGGCGCGCCACACCACAGGGTTAATAATTTACCATGTACGGTCAATTTACCATGATCTTAGTGGAAAGAAGAAACATGTGTTTTGTTAACTAAATAACAATATAATAATAATAACGTAACAGAAACATTTATTTACTTACTTAGTATCGAATAGTCCTCCCATTTGCTAATAGTAATATCGATTAATCGATAAGGTAACAGGAACTCTATTATCGTTATTCCTCCTATTGAATAGAGAAGTTCTTCATACTCGTCACCTAGTTTCACCTGGAATGAAAACGATTCGTCAAAACTTGACCAAAAACTGCCAGTGAATAATTTTATCTATAATACTTCGGCCAAAGTAATTAGGAGAAATTTTTACCAATTCATGATTTTTCTATGTCTATTCAAGCAAAGAAGAAATGACGATATACGTGATACAATTAGAACCACGTTTTCTGGAAATATCGACAATATGAGAACAATTAGTTGAGACTTCACCGGCGGCTAGTATGTAGCTGATATTTTTTATCTTAGTGGGCGGAAATATTGGCCGCTCGATAATGTTTAATCTATATTATGTAAAAGAACAATCAAATATGCAAAGCATGTCGCTTTATGATCGCTCTCGTTATATGATCATTTTAACAAAAGAAAACGTTTTTACATTTCTATGTATATTGACCCACGTGCCGTTTCATCGACTAAGTAAATGAGGTATTAAAACCTTCATACACCGAGTCATTATTTTCAAATGTGTTAACCATGTACACAGATAAAGCCGTTCGTACATTATAATATTAGTGTACACAAGGTACCTTTCGCTCGCTTTGACACAGATACGCGCTAGGACGAACGTTACCTTTCAACCCCCGACATTTGTTTCCCTTTGCGAAAAACTAATTTCGGTAAAAGCATGAGTCCATTGGACAGATATGTAACCTACCGTTGGAGGTTGGTTAAAATTTCTTTTTAATTCCGAGGGGGTAAATTTTGATAAAAAAAAAAAAAAAAAAAAAAAAAAAATTATTCGAAAATACAAATGCAATACCATTAAACAACTGTATAAACAGTCTGCGAGTGCCGCATACAAACAGTAACGTTGACGCAATACAGTCTCGTTACACTGTGAACTCTGATCAGAAATATAAATTAAAGAGTTTCAAACAAGTGGAGCGCAGTGTTCGAGTGGTTGCGCCTTGTGCAACAAAACACAGAATGACCTCTGACTACAGGGGCCCTTCGCAAGCTTCAGGAACCACATTTTCAAATAACCAAAGTACACACAAAATCAATCTCCCTAAGGTAACGCAAAATTATTCATTTGTCCACGGTAAAGTGCGACAGACGCATATTTCGATAACTATTGACGATACGAACAATTTGTTTACATGTAAATTGTAGGATACAGTGGACTCTACATTGTGGCGTGAACGAATTTTTTTTTTTTTTTATACTATTAATTTAAAAGATACGACGGCGAAGTTTCGTTTTTTAGATGGAACTTACAGGGCGTACTCCACGTGTAAAATAAAATTGTTGATTTTCAGAAGAGTCAAATTGAAATGACTGATTCGCTGATAGAAACGTATTTGCATGCAGGCAGTGTTCCGTGGCGGCAACAAGGCAGTGGACCATGAGCGTGGGATTCTCGACTTCGAGTTCGACAGCCAGATATACAAGAGTCGAATCCGAGTACGAAGATGGTTAATAGGCATTCTAATTTCCCTGTTCACGTGCCTAATTATCATAAACACGTACGCTACGGATCAATTTCGAGCGATGCGATTCGGAACTATCGTCAACGACACCTCGCAAGGTACACTTCAACGATTTACAGTATCGAATAATTTTGAATCGAGTAGCTCAAAGCTAGTCGAGTATTTTCTTCGAAATTGGAACGAAGTTCTGCGAAACTTCTTATAAATACAGGGCGAGGCATTTAAAACGGGCGACCCGAATAATTCGCTTACTTTTGAGCGATAGGAAACAATGTGTCGAACAAGAGTTGCTTGATTTTAAGGGGCACGTAATGTAGCACCAATAACTTTTTTTTATCAGTGGAAGCATAGAGGAGTTACGAAGCTCGCTTTTGTTTTTTATTTTTTTATTTTTAAATAGAATAGCAGAGTTTCTGATACACATTCTGATAGAAATTCAAAACGAATACAATGACCCGTAGTTGAAGGTCTTAAGGATTTAAAAGTAGGTTTTAAAAGTTTTAAATTACGAAAAAGAAACATCGGATAATTATGCATCAGCATAATATAAATGATAACACGTTATTAAAATAAAATTAAAACGAGCATAAAATAAAGTCCCTGTCTTACATGTTTTCTATGTTTTCTAGAGAACTTCATGGACTTCAAGCCTTTCTTCACGCCCGTGGCCAATTCTGGCTTCGTAGTGCGCAACAAAGGTTGCCGAATACCAGCGATGGATCCTTTTGATCCAGCAATCAAACGTTTCATTCGTAAGGAGGCACCCTTCGTTTGCGAGATGGGAGATCAGCTACCTCTCGTTGATTCGAACAACACAGCAGTGTTCATAAATCCGGATGCTATACACCATTATTACAACAATACGAAGGATATCGACTGCTGTTGGCGTCCTTTCTGGCGAATGAAAGACGAGGACAATATCGTTACGTCAGTAAGACTGCTTATTTTCCTGTAACAATAACTACAATTTTCGAAGCAATCATTGCTACAAAAATTTCGACCCGACACTTTTATAAAGGTATCGGATATCAGATTTCTCAAACCTCCAGTTAAAGTTCAATGTGTGATCGTAATTAACAAATCTGACTCCACGACGTGTTCTCGATTCGATCGAAATCTATTATAGTTTTCATCATTTAAACAGAATATCAAGGTAAATATCTAACATTAATGCATTCGCATAGCCGCGTAGCCTTCGCTATCGTGGCCGCTCCAACGGCATACGCGCCCACTGATTGGTCGGGGTTTTCTGTTAATATCTCCTTAACGAAGCCTCGAACAATTTATTTATTTTCGCTAAGGAAAAAGTTGTTTCAAATCTCCCATGCCTTGAATTTTTCATTTGCAGGTACGACAACGATTGCTCCGCTTTCCAGAACGCGACGACCATCAGAGCTGAGTTCGTAAAAATCGAATGTTCACGAAACAACGAAGTGATATACAAGGACTACCACGCGTTTTTGCCTCGTTTTCGTTCGTTGGAACAGAAATACGAGAAGGCGAGAGCTGCCAGGTTCAAGTCCGAACATCTGAGCTTGCTGATAGTTGGCCTCGACTCGGTTTCGAGACTGAATTTTCATCGAATGATGCCGAAAACCGTCGAAGCTCTGCGGAAGCTCGGAGCAGTGGAAATGATGGGCTACACGAAAGTAGCCGACAACACGTACCCGAACTTGGTGCCTGTTTTGAGCGGGCTGTCCGATGACGAGCTACACCAGTCATGTTGGCAGACTAAAGACAAACCGTTCGACGGGTGCCCGTTCATCTGGAAGAACTTCAGCGCAGCGGGTTATCGTACCGTTTTCGGCGAAGACGCCTGCGCCATGACAACGTTCAACTACTTGAAACCTGGCTTCCGGGTCCAGCCGACCGACTATTATTTGAGGCCGTTTTGCATCGCGTCGGAAAAGGACATCGGCAACACGCACAAGTGGAACGCAAATCTTTGCGTGGGGACCAGAAAAACATTCGAGAATTTATTAGACTATACCCGAAAGACGGCCTCGCAATTTGCCAAAGTGCCATATTTCGCGATGTTCTGGCAAGCCAGTTTAACGCACGATTTTTTCAACTACCCGCAATTAGGCGATGACGCCTACCATAAATTCGTTTCTTATCTATCCAGCAAACAGTTGCTGAACCACACGGCATTAATAGTGATGAGCGACCACGGGATGAGATGGGGCGATTTCCGCGAGACATATCAAGGCAGAATGGAGGACAGCCTTCCGTTTGTGTTCATTGTGTTGCCGACCTGGTGGAAGGAGAACTACCAAGTGGCCTGGGCTAATCTTCGAAAGAATGCGCGGAGCTTGACGACAGCGTTCGACTTGCACGAGACCCTATTGGATCTATTGGAGTCGAAACATTTGGAGGAACCGCGCCTCAAGGAGCGTTCAAAAATGTTATCGGATGCGAAAAGTTTACCTCGCGGGATTAGCTGGTTCCTGCCGATTCCTGATTATCGTACATGTAGCATGGCAGGCATAGCCAGCCACTGGTGCATGTGTCATACTAGCAACGATGTTCCTTTGAATGACGAGAGTTACCAGGATAAAGCAGATTTCCTGGTCGCAGAATTGAACAGGATGTTAAAGAAATTCGTGCAATGCGCGACTCTCAAGTTAAAGGAGATTAGAGCCGTTAAAGCGTGGCGAAACAAGGGTGATAAATTTGATCTCGTTGATTATACGATCACAATTCAAACGGAACCTGGTGACGCGATATTCGAGGGGACGGTGCGATACAGAGGAGAGGATAAGACTAAAAAATTGGTGGGATCGGTTAGTAGATTAAATGCGTATGGAAAACAGAGCGCCTGTGTTGACGAGTTCAACATGAGGTTATATTGCTATTGCTTGTAGAATTAACACGTTTTGGTAACTTTTGTAATTTTATTTTGTCTACGGCTCTAATTTCTTTATAGCATGGAAAAAGTATGAGTTTCTTCAAATATAATTACACGTTTATGTTTTCTTCTTGTATTTCATAACGATGAAATCAAACTAATATTTATTTAATATTTAAAATACTAAATTTCAAAATATTAAAGGACATGCAATCGTCATGGTTACGATAAATGTATGATAATTTTTACCAAATACAAATGACCATTTACTCGAAATAAAAGAGTACAACAAAGTTTGATGTTCAAACAATTCAAACATAGGAAGACGTTTCTGTATTAGTTTATAATATAAATTTAGGATATAAATCAACAAAATTAACAGATGTAAATAGAATAGGTGTATGATAATATTTAAGTTATTGAAGGCCTCATTTAAACGAACAAGTAACAAAAGAGTTACTACTCGAAAGTTAACAAATTGTTACAACAAATTACATTATAATCGACGAAAGAATTGTGCTTCAATTATAATTTGTAAGGAGATTACATTCGAAGGTGTTGGATAAATTTCTGCAAAGCAAAAGATACGTATAATTTAACGCAAAAATTTTATAATAAAAATGCTAATTGTAAATTAAATAATTGAATAGTATTTATTAATGCTAATGGCTGATGTAAATTTTACTGTAAATAATATTGATAAGAAAATTGTAACACATTACTTCGCTTAATTATTTGTATTTGAATAGGGAATCCGATACTTCAAAACATGGTCGTTAAGTCCCTTCCACTCTTTAAATGCAAAATTTCTGATCATATAAGACATTCATGCATCACTCACGCATATTAAACATGAAATAACTTATTTTGTTAAATAAAGTACTCAAACATTTCTGACATCCACATAAATATAGTGGTACCATGTTAAATTGCCGAGTGTCTAGCTAGGGCTAGGCGAGATCTCCACCACCAATACATAGTAGTAAGATATCACAAAATCACGGTCATGGGAAACTTAAGTAGTTGTTTGATCGGTATGATATTTCACAGTTACGCCAATGCATACCAGTTTTTATTCGCTCTCGTCACTCTAATGTTTCTCCTTGACGCTCTTTGTCACGCGGTAGACTTTTAATGTGAACAGTGCGACCAATAACAAAAATACTTATACCTCGAGGCGGAACGGCGAATTTTATTAACGTGGTACCACCGTAATTGACAATGACATACTTGACCAGTCCTTTTATAATCAAACAGGAAGTATGCGTATACGTGGTGGTTATTATGTCATGCTACAAGTATTCAATATAACTGACCTAACAAATGGCTACCACGTCACAGTTGGTATCCATGGTATTTTTAAGGAAGCAAAAACACCACTTGGTATAGAAACACACAAAGTCATCAGCACATGCACTTCAATTATACGCACATTTTAGTGTCACTTTATATATACATTGCACTTAAAGTTCTTAGTTTCCCCTTATTCCATTATAAATTCGATTTATAGAGTTCTGTTGAAGTAGATTTTTTATTTCTGAAACAGATACAAATTGTGTGAACATATTCTAACAGTTTAAATAATTGCATAAATTAATAATAATAATAATAATATAGAAGCAGTTTACCTTCTTTTTGTGTACTTGTGAATTCTGTATCAGGGAATGCAACATCAAATGTGATATATAAAGTGCCATGAAGATTATTATTGTCATAGTTAGGCATTCCTTCTCCTTTTTTCCGAATACGAGCTCCTGGTTTGGTGATCTTGTCCCTCTGAATGGATACCTTGTGGCCATCTAAGTGTTCTATGTCCATTTTAAAGCCTATCAAGGCATCCTGCATAGATATAGTAACATTTGTATAGAGGTCATCGCCAATTCTTTCAAAAACTAGATGTGGCTGCGTTCGTATTTTCAAAATTAGATCTCCAGGATCTCCATCCAAATGCGGTTCACCTTCTGCGGTAAATTTGGTTTCTTGCCCATCTACCATACCAGGTTCCACTTCAACCTCTAACACTCGTTCTTCGGTAACAAATTTAACATTTGGACATTCTGAGCATACTGCTTGCTGGGTCATTTGAAATCTTCCATTTCCCAAATTGCGAGTAACTAATTCTTGTCTACAATTACATTTTCTTGTTCCTTTAGCTGCCTTCATAACTGGTTTGTTTCTTGTGATCTGAAAGAAACATAGAATTCAAATTCTGCTTACTACTTTAATTAATCACGAAATCTTACCTCTATAAAGTTTCCACTATACAACTCTTCTAATGTAACCATTAAATCCATTATGATATTGGCACCTTTAGGTGTTTCATGTTGTTGCTGGGACTCTCCACCAAAATGAAAACTAAAATCTCCAAAGAAACTAGCAAAAGGATCGGCATTGTTCATCATACCATCTCTCTTTAAACAGTCTTCTCCACATCTATCATACATTTCTCTTTTTTCGTTATCTGAGAGAACTTCGTAGGCTGCACCTAAATCTTGGAATTTCTGCGAAGCACTTGGATCATCTTTATTTTTATCAGGATGCAATTCTTTTGCCAGTTTTCTGTATGCCTTTTTTATTGCATGCTGACTTGCTGTTGGCGGTATGCCTAAGATGGCATAAAAGTCTCTTCTGCAAGGACATTGTATGTGTTGTTTATGATTAACTACAAATTAATAAACAATCCAAATTGAAGATATAAAGTTTCAAGTGATTCAAAGGAAATACTGTTTGCTTTTATAACACATGTTATCACGACGAAACGTTATTTAAATAATAAATAAAGGGAAGGTACCAGTCTGACAAATGAATGGTTCATAAAACAAGAGGTTATAAAGTTATTGCAAAATAACTGTTCGTTACGTTATCTGATAAATAAATTGTACAAAAATGAATAGCTTTTTACTTACCCTGCTACAGTTAGAACAACATATACTGTTAAATTTATGAACAAAGACAAAATTAATTTTATCGCTGCCATCCTAGCAGACGGTACAACAAACATCGATGCTTAATTCGTGGGTGCTCCTGATTGGTGCAACGAATTCAATTTATCCCGTTCTGATAAGCGAAAAACGAACTTTCAGGCAAGTTTGTATGTAACGATAAAAGGGACAGTAATTTATGCTATGAGAGCATCTAGGCTTCCAATAAATCTGAAGTTTGCCGATGTGTTTGTTTCGCTTCCTCCTGTGGAAAATGTTCCTGTGGAAAATGTTCTAGGGTATTGCTTATCACTGTCTAGTACTAAACAAGCGAGTCCAGTATTAGCCGTGCTGTGAGACGTGGCAACAGCGCTCAAATCCAGATCATTGGCCCTCCTGGTTCAATGTTTTCAATCTACATATATCCTATAATACGTGAGCTTGGCTCCCCTTCCCTTGGACCCTGGTCCACTAATCGTACGACAGTCACCGCAGTCACAGTTTCACTGACACAGATAGTACGTCAATTGCTAGTTTGTGGTAGATAGTCAGTGATGGTTAGTGACAAGTGATAGTTGTTGACGAAAAGGCAATTGAGACTGTAATTAATAAATCATTAGTTTAAACATGTCAGTATGTAAATTCCTTCGAGTACTCTTACAAGAAAGTTCACTGAAAGAAATTCAATCACAAATCACATGACGAAAGCGTTCTTTGCTAAAATTACTGTCTTATAAAATATTTATAGGTTATGTAAACTAATTTATCTCTCAAACATTTCTCAAAATGGAGAAACATATGCATTTATGGAAGGGTGTTGATAAATTGTCATACACTTTTGGCGACAAGCCGAACGGCATCATTTGCAGATTGGTTACTATTAAAGATCATATTTTCGTAGCAACTACCTGTAACAATCTATATCATGGAGAGGTATCGTTCCTGGAGGGTTCTCCTTTATCATTAATTTTCAAAAGGGCTCAATTTGATGTGGTTGACATAGCATCCAATTCGGAGCATTTATTTATTGTAGATAATAACGGACACGTTTTAAAAATAAATCCTGAAAATATGAGTATAGTGGATACAATAATTCTAAAAGATGAAGTCAAATATTGTAGCCATGGGTATGTTCAAAATTGTTACTTGTCTTTTATGTTAACTTTTAAATCTTGCATTCTGTACTTTCGCTATAAGTTGTTACTTATTATAACAAATTATGTTATTACAGATATAAGCAGGAAAGCGAAGTTCTTAAAGTGAAATCAATAGCAGTCAGTGACCAAGCAGCACTATTTGTGACAGAACATGGACAGCTCTGGGCTAGTGGAAATCAATCGCAAATAGACATCAATAGCATAGAGCCTAAGAAAGTGAAGTTTTTTGAAGGCAGAACTGTGTTTACTGTTTCATGTGGTTTTAATTTTAGTGTAGTTGCTGTAAGAAAAACAACAAAATCTATGAAAGATGATACAGATAGCGAGAATGAATTAGAGGAAGAAGTTTTTGTTAATTCGTGTCCTCAGTGTCTCGATACGGTACTATTAAGTCCTACGAGTTTGACATCATCAGATACTTGTCCAACTGGACTTCATGTGCAACAATTCAGCGAAGATCACTCAACCACTTCCATTAGTGCTTTATCTATTGCTAGTAAAGAGCGTGACACTATTTCATCTGTGAAAGTTGTTAAAAGAGAGGAAGCTTCTAAAATAAGTGGAAATGAAGATGAATATGCTTTTAATCCTACAGATTCTGATAAAGAAGAAAAAAAGAATGTTATTTTTATAAACACAGAAGCAGCAAAACAGTTCTTAACGAGGCAATTGTCCTGGGTGTCATCTTATGGAAGTGTTAAAGAAGACATACCTTTGGAAAATGTTGAAAAACCAAGTAGATTAATCAAGCAAAATGTATCCAATGTAGCTAATTTGGTGTATGAAGGAGTAAAAAATGTGGGAGGTAAAGTTGTTACATTATCTAGACACATGAGTGGAAGCTCGGACACCAATGAATTTAAAGATGATAGTAATGAACATCCAGAGGAACAAGGAGAAGAATGGTTAAAACCTAGTACCACCAGTTTGGCATTAAGTTTACGCTGTGAAGAATTCCCATGGTCATCAAGTACTGGCTCTTCGGAACATGAACTATCTCAGCAAGGTTTAAATGAAAGAATTAATACATTAACGCGCACTGGCAGCAATATTTTGTCTACTGAACTGTGGACATGGGGTGATGTGCAGTATGGACAATTAGGAACAGGAGATATTATTATACGTTCACGACCTATTTTAGTAGCAAAACTTAGTAATACTGGACTTAGAAAAGTTTCTTGTGGCGCGTTTCATATCCTTGCCTTAACATTAGATGGCAGGGTCTTTGCCTGGGGAAGAAACAATCATAAACAGGTGACATTGGAAACAATTGCATATCAAAGTGCACCTCAATTGTTTACTACAAAATTATATCCAAATGAGAGGGGCAAAGATATCGCAGCTGGTACTTTTCATAGTTTAATCATGATGCATCATGGTTTATACTTTATTGGGCGTTCTAGGTAAGTAACTTACTACGGTAACAGCATCATTGTTTTTACTGAGGAAGGAATTTTTATTATGGTTTCAGTAAGGCTGGAGAAATGTTCTATCTTGACATTGAGACAAGCAGTGAATACAGTTCACGACAAATTTTTAGTTCTGGTGAATATAGTTGTTGTTCTGTGATAAATGAACCTGAAATAAATATTTCTGAAGACTTAGTAAACGATCAAGTCTTTTTGGAAGAACTATTGATCGTTTATCAACATTTAATTAAACCATTCCAAAAAAAGGGTGGGGCTATGCAAGAATCAAATGTTTATGAAACATTGTGTCGATGTTATACAGAGTTATTAAGTTTTAGTGCATTGAATGTTGTTAGCTTATGGGACTATTTCAATCATATGGGTGAAGCATACGAAGTAACAGTGATTGCTAATGTTGAGGAATATATTACTGTGTACAAGTACTATTTAAATGCAATATGTGATGTCATTTCTCTGAGTGGATCTACATACATTGCAAAAATAATTGAAGTACCTCAAATTATAACAAATTTATTTTCAAACAAATTAAGAAGTAATGAAACCAAGAAAGTTACTAATGAAATTATTATCACTATGGCATTGCAGCATCCACTGCGCAAGTTAAATAGGTAAATATTTATAAACATAAATTTAATATATAAGACCATTATTTCTTGGTTTATGAAATAATGGATTACATGTTTACATAGATATAAAAGCATGATTTTAAATTTGATAAAGTGCAACAATATAAAAATGGGTGTAGAACGATTGCAAGAAGCTCTAATAAAATGGGAACAAATATGTGAAATACAAGAGAAGCGACAGAAAGAGGCTGAAACGACTAAGCTATTTTGGGAAAGTTCTGGGAAATTGGGAGAATTATTGAGATCTCCTAACAGAAGACTTATAAGAGAATCACGAACGCATCCTATATCAATTCTTAATTCTGGAAGGTTTTCTACACATTGGTTTGTTTTATTAACCGATATATTTATTCATGTTACTGGAACTTCCCATATAGTTCACCCACTTCAAACTCTCTGGGTAGAAATTTTACCAGATTCCGAAACAGCACAAGTATGTTAAATAAAATTGTATAACAACCAAACTAATGCAAGTTATAGCATAATTTCTTGTGCATGTATATTTCAGAATGCTATGTCAGTAGTAGCACCAGAAGATACGTTTATATTATATACTCCAACACCTTCTGAACGTAATGAATGGTTACACGCTTTACAAAATGCTATAAAATGTAGCCTACAAAGGGTTATTGGACATGTACCTCCAATAGTACGTTCTAGCTCCTTCTCTTTCACAAAGCACAGTGTTTTCAAAGATGCAAAGTACACTGGTTCGTAAGTCATTAATGACAGTATTGTGTATCATGAATTTTTTTTGTTTTTTACACTTTAAAATAATTATAATGCAAATAATAAAGGTAAAACAAATATAATACTTTCTTTTACACATTTAATGTTGTGAAAATTTAGATATAAAAATTTCGTATCAAGTTTAAAAATGAGCTAGATAGCAGGTTTAACCATTAGCAAACATTTTTTTTTCGGCTGTATTACGAAAGTTGTATGTCTCTTAGTTTGAGTACCCATTATAATGTACAGGTCGATGGCTTAATGGCAAGCCTCATGGTTCCGGAAAATTAGAATGGTCTGATGGTCGTATGTATACAGGACAGTTTCATAAAGGCGTTATTCATGGTAACGGTAAAATGGAAATTCCGTCACAAGGAGTGTACGAAGGACAATGGAAAGATGGTCACCAAAATGGATATGGAACAATGAAGTCAGTTTTTTAAATGAATACTATTAAATAGATATTATTAACAGATATATTAAATAACTGTATTCATTTTAGATATAACAATGGAGACTTTTATGAAGGATACTTTAAAGACGGATTGCCACATGGCCATGGTGTTAAAAAAGAAGGTCATTTTATGGCATCCGTTGCATCTGTTTATATCGGAGAATGGGCAGCAGGTGTGAAACAGGGCTATGGAATTATGGATGACATTATGACAGGTATTGTTACATGATCAGTATTACAGGAAAATTAAGAATCTATTAAGAGATGATAATTATTAAATAATGTATAATTATAGGTGAAAAATATTTAGGATCTTGGAGTAATGGTATGAAACATGGATGTGGTTTAATTGTGACTTTAGATGGTATTTACTACGAAGGGGTTTTTATGCAAGATGTTTTAACGGTAGATAGTTAAATATTTTCCTAGTTTTCGTAATGTGCGTTATAAAAAAATCAAAGTTAACGTTGTATTTAATTAAAGGGTCATGGAGTCATGGTGTTTGAAGATGGTACTCATTATGAGGGTGAATTTAAATCAGCTGGAATTTTTAATGGAAAAGGTACATTAACATTCCGAAGTGGTGATCGATTAGAAGGCAATATGAATGGGGTATGGAACGAGGGAGTAAAAGTTATTGCGACGCTGCATATGAATAAGGCTTGTGGAAACGTGCAATCTACTTCGAAACCATTGTAGGTAATTTGTCGATTAATATTGCTTGACGTTTATATTTAGATAATTTTTCTTCACTTGGTATAGATCATTTGGAAAGCTATGCGTATCGCCAGATCAAAAATGGAAAGCCATATTTAAACAATGCTATCAACAACTTGGTGTTCTTGAGCCAGATTCGAAGACTACAAGTAGTGCAAATGATAAGACTCTTGAAACACAACGCGCGTGGCAAAATGTTGCCAGCATATTGACTAAATCTCGTCAAAAGACATCACAGCGAAAAAACCTTTTAACGAATTCTTTTAATAATAAAGAAAAAGACAACGAAGGCACAGATGAGTTGGATAAAATTCCTTCCTATGGGAAAGAAAAGCTTACTATTGATAGCTATAGCGAAGTTCATAAATATTTAATTAAAGCTTTTGAAAGTCCACATCATCCATTAGGCTGTCTTTTGACAGAAGCTGCTGCTGTATATACAGCTACTTATGGTGGCGTAAGAGTTCATCCTTTGCTACTTAGTCATGCTGTATCTGAACTTCATAGTATTACCTCGAGAATATATGAAATAGTTACTCTATTGTTTCCGGAATTACCACGAGGCGGGAAAGAGTATGTATTGGAAGCAGAAAATGAAGAAGAAAGGTGCGCCTTAAGTTATAATTAACTTCGTATTTGTCTTGTACACCATTGTTTATTTATCATTATAATTGTTTGGTTCTTAATAATTGTTCATTAGTCAAGTTATAAGTGCTGCTGGAATACTCTATCCAATATTATTGCCTCGTGTGCACTCAGCACTTTTTGTACTATATGCTCTACATAATAAGAAGGAAGACGACGCTTATTGGGAGAGATTAATGAAATGGAATAAGCAACCCGATATAACGTTAATGGCTTTTTTGGATATCGATCAGTGAGTAATGTTACTAATCGAAAGCAGGAATTGTTACATTCGTATATAACTAATTGGTGAAATTACAGGAAATTTTGGAAAAATGCAAGTGTACTGAATTTAAGTGAACACGGATTGCAGTATAAAAGCGAACCGTATTTCACTGATGCGATAGAAACATTGCAACAGTTGAAAACCACGTTTTCTCCATTAGAAAAGTTGCTAGTTGTCAGAAATACATTTGAACAAATGACTCAAGTAAGCTATATTTCTATCATGTATTTCTGATCTTACTATTAAACCGTTATATTTTGTTTATATTAGACAGTTCAAAAACAATTGGGTTCTGCATACTTATGGACAATGGACGAACTATTCCCGGTTTTTTGCTTTGTCGTCGTTCGCGCCAGTGTGTTACAACTAGGCAGTGAAATACATTTCATAGAAGACTTTATGGAACCTTATTTACAAAACGGAGAACTTGGAATTATGTTCACCACGCTCAAGGTCAGATATTGTTCTTATTAAAAACGATGTAAATGTCAGAAGATTAGGAAGTATATATTTCTTCCAGGCGTGTTACTATCAAATACTGCAAGAGAAAATTAACGTCGTCGATTAAAAGCTAAAAATCTTGTATGTTTGTAAATCTATATAAATATGAACGAAGGAATAAAATCCAATAGCTCTCATTATAATAAATTTTAAAAGCACGAAGATAACATTCAGCTGTTAGAAAAAGTTATTTCAAATTCTAATATCATTTAAGTAAGAGTAATATAATTTACACATGTTAAGATCTGTTAAATATATATAAAATATATATTTATATCTGTTAAACGTAATTAGACGTATTTATTATAATTAATATCAATATATTTATAGTATGAATTAAATTACATATTACATCGATAATTCATGATAGTGTAGGTAATGATATTATATGTTATATAATTATACAAAAGTGCAAATGTGCAGTGTATATACATTTAACTTGGTGGTACAGTCATTTCATTCCACCATTTGTTGCGTTCTACTGTATTTTGAACATAATTCAAAGATCAAAAACTTGAAAATTTATTTATAGTAATTCTTTGTACATATATGTTTATACATTATTTTCAAGAAATAAAAAGATTTCGATAATAAATCGTGAACTGTATATTTTAATGTACATAGTTTTAAACATCAAATTCTAATCTCACATTCATATTACACTAATAAATCAGCCTTTTAAAACAATGAATGGGATGTATAATTACTCCCGAGGAAGGATCAGTACTATAATTGTTAATAATTATCCTTTATTATTCATGAAATCCATTGCAATTATATATTTGATAGACGTGTCGGGCCGGTTGCCTGCCCGTAGGCGCAACCGTGCCACCTCTTCGCGCATCATGTGCTTCTGATACCAAAATGCTGAATCAGCCAGAATTCCGAAATGTACAGAAA